ATATATATATATATATATACACCTGGTGTTACACAAGTAGTACCGGTAAGTATCAGAACAGTTGAGGTAATGTGAAAACGGTTGGAGAAAAAAAGGAGAAATCTCATTTCTCAAATTAATCAAAAAATTAATAAAGTTAGACAAATTTAATCTCACCCGACAGTACACATATTACTGATTACATCAGCATAAAATTATGATGGATTTTTGCTGTTATAACTTATAGCCTATAAAACGGTAAATGAACAGCAAACGTGTGCCTGCTTTCTTAAGATTTGCGATAATGGAATTTTTAAACACTCTAACAAAACAAATGCATATATAGTTACATGTTGCAAATATTTATAGACTGGTACCTATCTCGAAATGTACACAAAGGTAAGGCCGTAATAAAAATATTGTTTGTTTGCCCTCACCTGACTGACCCGCCAAAAAGGGGCCGACTCAAAAAGTGTTATTGATCTTTCCCATTCTTTTTTTTTACAAGTTGTATCACTGTACATTATATCCTGATTATATAGATCTGTAGGCAATACATTAAATATGTACCAAGCAAAACAAACATTCAACATAAAAGGTATCTCCATACAAGCACACCCGAGCATGTAGACACTATCATCCGTCCATGCTGAATTTATAAAAAGACCCCCTCAAAAAACAGAAAAAAAAGGCTACCTACCTACCCAAATTTTTCAGCCTGGGTCAGGTGAGGGCAAACAAAGATTTTTTTAATTGTGGCCTCATTAACCTGGTATAGAGACAGGGTTCTAGTCAATGGCATCTTGCGAGAGCAAAAATCCGCGCTATTGTTGCTGACATATGTCAACAGTGGATCAGTGCTCATATTGGTGAAAAGAATGAAGTGTGATAGTTCTATAACATGTTGGCCCTACTTTATGCACTTGGTGTTATGCAAGGAGTACGGGTAAGTATCAGAACGGTCAAGAAAATACGAAAACGGTTGGAACAAAACATCTGAAGTCCTCGCTTTAATTTAAGGTAATGCACGAGTGACCATAAGCTCGTATGAACACAGTTTGGGAGGTCGATAACTTGTGACTATCGCCCAATCGGTTTTGCGCTAACGTGTCTGTTTCCACTGATCTTAGGTCGTTGAGTTTTCTGTCGCGGCCGTCGCTCGCGTTAGCAAGACTGTTCGCTGCGAATGCGACGAAGAGCGACTCTAGAGAGGCGGAGAGAAACTGTAAGCCGGTGAACGACGTGTTCTTCCTGAAGACGCACAAGTGCGCGAGCAGCAGTCTGCAGAACCTCTTCATGCGCTACGGTAAAAACCGCAACCTGACGTTTGTGCTTCCCTCCTACGGCAACTACCTCGGCTCTCCGGCGCGGTTTAGCTCGCGCATGATGATGCAGCATCCAAGCGGCGTCTACAACATCTTCTGCCACCACTCGCGCTACAGCGAGACGCAGGTGCGCGCCGTCATGCCCTACGCGACGTTCGTGTCGATCCTGCGGCGGCCGGCAGAGCTGCTCGAGTCCCTCTACTCGTTCTCGAAGCTCACAAAACTCTACGGCGTCGACTTTGACATGTTCATACGTCGGCCGGACGCGTACTTTGCGCGACACAAGCCCGGCCACCCACCCGCGATGAACACGATGCTGTTTGACTTCGGTCTCGACACCATCGACAGTCTCAATCGGGCGAAGGTCGACGCGAAGATCGCGACGATCGCAAAGCAGTTTTCGCTGATCATGATCGCTGAGCGCTTTGACGAGTCGCTCGTGCTGCTGCGTGACGAGCTCTGCTGGTCGTGGGACGACGTCGTAGTCTTCAAGCAGAACGCGCGCATCCGCAAGACGCGGCTAACGGAGGAGCAGCTGGCGCTCGTCGATGCGTGGAGCGCGGGCGATGCGGCGCTTTACCAGCACTTCTACCCCGTGTTTGAGGACAAGGTGAGGCGGTACGGCGCCGCGCGCATGCAACGGGATCTCGCCGCGCTGCACGAGCATACGCAGCGCATGTACGACCACTGTGTCGACCATCTGGTGACACAGAAGGAGATACACGATCCCAAACTGAAGTCATGGTCGGCAGACGTCTTCAACTTCCGTCTGAAGAGCAACGACAGTGCCTGCATTGATCTCGCAAAAGCTGAACTGCCTTTCACCACCGAGCTCAAGCGGAGGCTGTGGCCCAACAAGAAATTTGTAGTGTGATGTAAGTAATGTTGCTGCATTGCTACTGAGAGAACAGTTTGTGATTTTCCTCCACAGATATTTGTTCCTATTGGAACACTATCTGATGCATATTACAATACATGTATGTGCAGGGAAGGAGGAGATTTTTGGATGCCTTGATTTTTGGATGCTTGGTGTCTAGTGGTTTGGTTTGAGGATATTGTTGACTTCGTTTGCTACTCACATTGCATGTGTAGGTTGAAGTGTGCAAGTATAAAATGTGTTTTTGTGGATAATCATGTTTGTTGTGTTTGCGGCAGACGAGTAATAACACCTCGATGTATGAGCATTTGAGATACAAAGCTTCAACAATGTGAACAACCATGTTTGCATTTTCAGTTAAATTTCTTGGACCACTGCCATCATGTATGCCATACAATAGATGACGTTTTTCGTTTGCAGCTATGTTTGTTTTGTGTTGCTACCGAGAGAACCTTGCCTATTTGGCAAACACTACTAGCCAAGGTCAAAAGTTGTTTGGAAAAGAACAAAAGCACACAGCAATCATGCTTGATCTCGGATAAGCCAATAGGCAATATATAACATTAGTGGATTATTGTTGTTTTTTACCTTCTGCAGTTTTTTAGTGCTTTGTTGTCTGCATTTGGTCATTTATAGTCTTTAATTTATTGGTTGTTTGCTAGTGTTTCAGCTTGGCACCAGTTGTAAAGGTGTTTTTAACTACATAGAGGGTTTTCTACACATCTAGAACTTAGAAGTAAGATATGTTTATAATGTTGACAGACTCTTTCAGAAATACAGTGAGAAGAGAGGTACTGTGTGTAGTATTGGGGTTCTATGTGTACCAGTGTTATAGCCGGTTCGTGAGACACGTCGGGAGGTGCCCGACTGTGTGTAGGCACCGCACGTGATCGTATAGGTGTTCTAAACCTTGCGTTGTGTTATATTGTTCTTAACCTGTTAACCCGTTGTTTCGTTTCGTGTTTGCGTTTCCGCTTGAAGGAATGTCAGCTTCTCTTTGTCTCTCGTGCGACGTAAGGCGAGTAACGAATAACTTCACAGTAGACAGGCATGTCAGTTGGCTGCTGGCTGCGTATTTATTGCAAAAATGTTATTTATTGTGATACGAGCCTCCAATTTTGTGTGTGAAATAACCTGCTCAATCCGTGTAAACTTACAAATTACATATATGAGCGAGTTGTCATTTGTCTAGTTGTGGTCATAATTTACTAATTACGTATTGACGAATTTACGTAACCCGAGTTGTCGTACGTGGGGTATTAGTATTACTGTGTGAATATACTGTGTGCATAAACATACACTTTATTTACACAAGCTTATCCAAGTTACAGGATCAACAGAATTGTATCAATCCAGCTGATCCAGTCATCAATTTTTTATACTATCTATAGCTGTTTACATCTTTTAAACTGAATTAGATTTAATGCGTGATGAAATTTCCCCTAAAATACCAGCAGGGTAGATAATTACAATATGTCATTATCTACCCCTGATACCAATAAATTCACATTAACCCAAATGTAAAGGATGGACCCAAATTACATGTATTTATTTATCTCCTAATAATAGTAAAGGGATTGATGGTTTGGTCGTCTTCCATCGTAAATAACCTATAGCTTATAACTTATAACAAAGGCACGCTGTGATAGCTGGTGCACGTGAAGAGTATATATAGGATATATATTATTTATGTGTATGTGCATGTGAATGTGTTATTATCAGTAAGCATATTTGTGTATGTACAGTGTATATTTGTATTTGTGTATGTACAGTGTATTTGTATTTGTGTGTGCATGTCATTGTGTAACAGTTTTATTTGTACAGTGGAGTAGTATAATGTAGCATAATTTCTGACTAGCATTCTCTACCACTGGGTGTTTACCGCAACGTACCCAGGGTACGTTCCGGCAGTACCCTGGGGGACATAGACCCTATGAGTGGGATAGCAATGGCTACCCGGAGACCACAGCAATATCTGGGCACTTAAATTTTAAGTTGTTTAACGATAAAAGTGTTTCTCTTGATAGCACCAAACGAGGCATTTTTAAGGCTTGATTGTACACTCCGGCCATTCTCTAAGTGTTTAAAAAAACTTTCTTGTGATGTAAGGTAGGTTCACAATAATAATAGCTACTAAAAACTTATGGCCAATTCGTTTCGTTTACATTCCTTTACACTCGATTATAGTGGCTGTGAAAGGTATTGTGACCTAGATTAGCCGATTGCACATTACACGCGGGTGGATCACATTTTGGAGTGCACAACTAGCTCAGGCATTGGTTGTGCTATAGAGTACAGAAGTGATGACGTCACGGCGGCATGACAACGAACCCACTGGTTCTAAGCAATCATATATGCTCTGGTAACATCAACTGTGTGAAAATGGTGTCGTGTTTTGTACCCGATTGTAACCATCATTCTAAGAGTCATTATTGCAGTTTTTATAGATTTCCAAAGGATGGAAGTGAAAAGCAACAAACAAACAAAAATCAAAAAAAAAAATCAATTAATTAATATTGTAAGATCGACTTGCTACCGATGCTTTACCGCTGTCTGCAGCGCACACACTCGTGTTTTACGTACGCACAACATTTTCACGCAGTTAATGTTATGGAGCCTGTGGGTTGTTTAGAACCAGTGGGTTCGTTGTCATGCCACCGTGACGTCACACTTCGGTACTCTATTGAGTCTGCTGCTACACCTGACAAAATAGAGTGAATCGTATTAGAATGTGTGTAGAGAGTCGCTACTAGCAGCATTTTGACAGACAGTATAGGGAACCATGTTTTTGCTTGTACAAATTCAGAACGAAATATTTTCGGATCAGATACCATAGATCTCTTTGCTGCGTAGTGCATTATAAAACAATTTTGCATGTAGAATGAGAACAACCAATTTTGTTTTTAAGAATGTGGTTTTATTATTTAGTAATGCTAATTCAAGTGTAAAACAGCAATTAAATGTTATTGTAACATGAGCAGTGATTATGTCGCCACAAGACCTACATGACAGTCAGTGCTGTCCACACAATATGTAAGCTAGAGGACCTGATCTGGTTTCATACAGCCTCTGTGGTAATTCAATCATTATGTAGAACCTTGCACTTGAACATAATTTGGATTAATAGAGAAAATAAAATAACAATGTGATAAACATGCATGCTCTTTCTACGGGTTCCTCAAGATAGCACAGGGGCGGATCCAGAGGGAGGGTCGAGGGGGTCCGGACCCCCCCTTTTTACCACAAAAAAAGGAAAAAAAGCATACACGCGCACGCACACACACACACACACACACA